CCCCAGGAGGCCGAGCGCCTCGACCCGACATCACGAGGAGAGGATGGGAAGGGGAGGGAAGGAGGGAGAGGGAGAGAAGGAGGAGAGGGGCGAGCGACGACAAGGCATTCAGCCGAGACCCACATCACGGCGTAGCGACGAAGACCGGCCCGATCACTTCCGCGCACATCGTGGTCTCGATGATCTGGCTGGCCGCAGCAAGAGCCGCAGCCCGCGTAGCAGCCTGCTTCCTCGCCCGGTGCCGGGTCCGCGAAGATGTGGCGACTACCGCCTCATCCTCGGCACGACGGCGGAGGCTCTGCGCAGCGGGCCATACCGAGGCTCGGCACTTGCCGAGCTCCCTCCTGGCCTCATCAATCACGGCCGCCGCCGCTCCGGACGCTCCAATCAGAACCAACGCCTTCTCGCCTGTCTCCGAGACCGCAGGCCCGGCGCAGCTCACGTCCTTCACCGTCACCTCGCCCTCGCACGCCTCCTGCGTGGCCGCACGCTCGTCCTTGACATCGCGTTGGGTCCCGTCGTGCTCGAACTCCCCCTGCTTGGCGATGTTCTCGTCCTTCTCCGCCTGCCGGCCGTCGTCATCGTCCGCCATGGCCGTCCCCTCCAAGCAGTGCCCGTCCACGTCCACGTCGTCCTCGTGCACCTCCTTCATCTCGTCCTCGACCCCTCCCTCCTCAGTGCTGCAGTCCGACGCGAGCCCGGCGGGGTCCAGGAAGTCCTCGGGGTCCTGTCCCTCAGGCAGCTCGTCGGCGAGCTCTGGAATTATGTACCCCGAGGTCGCCTGCGTGATCACGCGGTCGTGCTTGAGCTCCTCGATGCGGTCGTGCACGTTGGCACCATGCGTGACGACCACATCCTGTTTGAGGCCGCCGTGGACAATCAGGACGGGGAAAAAGTCGGTCTCGTAGTCGAAGGTGTCCTCGTCATCGATGGTGTGGGGAACGCCGACCTCGCCGGCAGCGGCCTCGAAGTGGCGCATCTTCAGGTCGGTTTGGCACTCCTTGTCGTTGCAGGTGTGCGCGCCGCCATTATCATCGGCAACCGTCTCGATATGGCGCATTTTCAGGCACTCGGTCTCGACGACCTGCTGCGCCGTTTCTGCCTCGTCCTCAACGTCGAACTGGCCCCCCGCCTCGAAGGGGTCCGCCTGGCCAGGCAAGCTCTCCGACAGCTCAGGGGCGTCCTCGAGCCGTGTCTCCAGGCCGGCCATCAGCCCAGCACCCTCCGTCAGCAACCACCTGGTGCCGTCGGCGTCCTCGAACGTGCTGTCGTCGTCCTCGTATACGCCCACGCTGAACTGAACGAGGGAGGCGTCGGCAGCATCGGCAGCATCGGCGTAGAAGCTAGAAAATATTATCATCAACCTGCCAATGCGTTGCAACACTGGGGAGCGGGAGGGAGGGGAAGGAGAGGAGGGGAGGGGAGGCAAGCTGGGTGCGCTACCGTCACATCTGACGTCCTACCCCTCTCTCCCATCCTTTACCATGACGTAGTTATCCTATCTATTCGGGCAGTCGGAGGTCGAGCAGGGCAATGATCCCAGGAGGGTACGCGATGGATGGAGAAGGATGGCGTAGAAGAGCACGGCAGAGCATAGCATGTCATAGCATGGCGTGGCATTGCGTAGTGAAGCATTGCATCACAAAGCATTGCAATGCAAAGCATGGCATCGCACAGCGGTGCACAACACAGCATCGCATTGCATGCCGTGGCATGGCACCGGACGACTTGGAGGGTTAGTGGCCCGTCTACGAGAGGACAAGGTCTGTCCGGACTGCCAGCTCCATGTCCTCCGCAACCGTGCCTGCCCGATGTGGGCGCTTTCGAATGCCAAGTGCCGTCCGCAGACGCGGGAACGAGGCCAGCGCTGCAGCTGGAGCACGATTTTGAATGACCGAAGCGCGGAAATGAGGGCGGCGCTGCAGCGGGAACGCCAATATAATGAAATCCTGTGTAAAAAAACGATACGCGTAGAGGTCGGGACACTCTCCAAACAGAGTCAGGGGAGAGAGGAGAGTAGCACCGTGGTTTTCAAACAAAAAAACATCTCGAATGCGTGTTGAAGCGGGTCAATCCCCCCGGCCCCAATTTCAAAGTTCGGGGCGGTCGACGCGGGGGAGTGCGAGTCGTTTCGAAAAAAACGCCCACATTAGCAAACCGCGGCCTGCTCCCTTAGATGAGTAATGAGATTGGGGGCGCGGGGGGCGCTCTTGCGCCATCTTCTAGACGTTGTAATTGGGTTGGTTTTCGAAAACGCTGGTACCCATACATATTGCGTAATTGTGGAGGGGAGGGGTGGGGGGAGGGGAGGGGAGGGGAGGGGAGGAGAGGGAGGGACAGGGCACGAGGGCGAAGGGACGAGGCAGGAGGGAGCTGGCACGATGGAGAGGGGTCCCTGTGGAGACTGGTCCTGGCCACCCGGAGCTTTCCCTGGGATATCCCTCAAGGGACCCCCCGCCTTGCGAAAAAATCACGACGGGAGGTTTTCCGCTATTTTCGGCCTCCGGGGACCCTTACCGGGCCTCGGGACCGTCAAAAAACAACTCAGGATGACAAACCAGTTCCGGGGAAAGGGTCAAGACTTCTGGGGGTCGACGTTGTGCTCCCGTCGTACTTTGGGACCAAATCCCAGAAATAATTTCGACCACCCATAACAAGATCGAAACAGTGTCGAACGAGTATCGCCTCCAAGGGCCCGACACGTGAAAAGCCTCCAATCTCGATACTTCCCTGGTGCTCGAAATTCTTTTTGATAGTGAAACCAAAGTAGGCTGGAATGTCGTAACCTCCAGGACGCCTCCGCTCCGGAACCTCTTCACGTCACGGTAAAGGAGAGGGAGGGAGCAGGGGGGGGGGATCCCGGCTCCACTGTGAACAGCCCAGAGAACCGACCGCGGCCCAGGATACCGAAACGGCCGGGAAGACGCCAGGACTGGAAACGTCGTCCCGCCCGACGTGAACCAGGGGACGAGAGAGCCCACTCTTGGAGCCTTCTTGGAGCCCTATTCGGCCCCGTTGGGGGCTCTCTGGAGCCATCTTTAACGCCAGCTAGAGGCCTCCTGAGCCCACTCGAAGCGAAAAAGCAATAATGCAACTAGCCGGGCGAAGGACCCAACAATAATCAGCTGCGAGTACCGCAAAAGGACTGAGGCGTGCGTGGGCAAGACGGAAGGACGTTGCTGAGGGGGTTGGCCGTAACGTTACCGCTGATCTGCGCGTGTGTCGGCGCGGCAGCAGGGGCAGCATACGGCGGGGCCTTTGGTGGAGCTCCGTATGGGCCCACGACACGTGTGAGGAATGTGCTGAAATGGACGCGGTCACGTATGCGAGTCCTTCCACTGGGTACTTCGGTGGAGCTCCGTTTGGGGCCAGGAACCGTGTGAGGCTTGTTCCGGATTGGGCGCGGACACGCATGCGATTCCTGCCACTGGGGCCTTGGGTTGAGCTCCCTATGGGGCCACGAAGCGTGTGAGGGTCACGCATGCGCTTCCTGCCACTGTGGCTTTGGGTTCAGCTCCCCCTGGGGCCACGAAACGTGTGAGGTGTGCGCCGAAATTGGCGCGGTCACATACGCGAGTCCTGCCATTGGGGCCTCAGGTGGAGCTCCCTATGGGGCCACGAAACGTGTGAGGGGTGCGCCGAGATGGGCGCGGTCACGCATGCGATTCCTGGAACTGGGGCCTTCGGTCAAGCCTCCTTATGGGGCCACGAAACGTGTGAGGGGTGCGCCGAAATGGTGTGGAGAAGGCATGCGAACGCAGCCACTGGAGCATCAGGTGGAACTCCCTGTGGAGCCACGAAACGTGTGAGTGGTGCGCCGAAGTCATGTGGAGAAAGCATGCGAGCGCAACCACTGGGGCCTTGGGTGGAGCTCCCTATGGGGCCACGAAGCGCGTGCGGGGCGCGCCGAAATGGTGCGGGGAAAAACATGCGAATACAGCCACTGGGGCCCCAGGTGGAGCTCCCTATGGGGCCACGAAACGTGTGAGGGGTGCGCCAAAATGGTGTGGACCAGGCATGCGGACGCAGGAACTGGGGCCTTCGGTCAAGCCTCCTTATGGGGCCACGAAACGTGTGAGGGGTGCGCCGAAATGGTGTGGAGAAGGCATGCGAACGCAGCCACTGGAGCCTCAGGTGGAGCTCCCTATGGGACCACGAAACGTGTGAGGGTTGCGCCGAGATGGCGTGAACCAGGCATGCGAGCGCAGCAAATGTTTGAGTCTTGTGCAGCTGCCTAGCGGGCCACGAAGCGAGTGAGGGTGCGCCGAAATGATATGGACCAGTCATGCGGACGCAGATCATGACGCCACGAAAACGCATGAGGGTTGCGCCGAGATGGCGTGAAACAGGCATGCGGGCGCAGATTGTTGGGCCGTAGGTGGAGCCCCCTATGGGACCGCGAAACTTATGAAAGGTGCGGCGAATTTGGCTTGGAGAAAGCATGCGGGCGCAGACATTTGGGCCTTAGGTGGAGTTCCCCATGATGCCACGAAACGTGTGACTGGTGCGCCGAAACGAAGCGGGCCAGACATGCGCACGCAGATTGGTGGGCATGAGGTGGAGCTCCATTTGGGGCCACGAAACATGTGAGGGGTGGGCCGAAATGGTGTGGACTAGGCATGCGGACGCAAATTGTTGGGCTTTGGGTGGAGCCCCCTCATATGGAGCCACGAAACGTGTGAGGTGTGCGCCGAAATGGCGCGGACCAGGCATGCGGGCGCAGATGGTTGGGCCTCAGGTGGAGCTCCCTATGGGGCCGCGAAGAGTGTAAGGGGCGGGCCAACATGAACATGCGGAGGACAGAGCGAAGAAGAGGAGGAAGAGGATGAGGGCCGAGGAGGAGAGAAGGAGGGGAGGACGCGGGGCGGTGCTTACTCTTCAAAACGATGGCCCAAATCAAAACATGATGTCTGCGGAGAAGCACTGATTGACCTGAGGCTCTGAAGCCTTCGGGCCTCTTGGGGGAGCTTCGGCGCGCAGGCTGTCCCGCGGCTGTCGGCGTCTTGGCTGCGGCCGCCGTCGCGGCGGTGGTGGGCGCCGCCGAAGTGGTCGGCGCCGCCGTGGTGGGCGCCGCCGTGGTGGCCGACGCGGTGGCGGGCGGCACGGCGGCGGGCGCTGCCACGGAGGCATCGCCACACAGGCCACAGGACTTCCGGCAGGCCCCACGCACCTGCCGGGTGAATGCCGCGCGCGCGCGCCCTCATTCCTTCTCCTTCTCTTCCTTCTCCTTCTCCTCCTCCTCCTCATCATCATCCCCCTCCTCCCCTCATTAATAGGATTAGCACTATGAATGTATATGCTTTGCTAATATGATGAGTACGGATGATATCATTAATATTACTGGTAGTACTTCTTCTCAGTGGTTTGAATATTCCTCTTACTAGTCGGATTATTATGATTGTTATTGTTCGTATTATGCTTATTATTCTAATTAGTAGCATTCCTCTTATATTATTTGTCATTTTAGTATTCGTCGCGTCCTTCTTCTTATCAGCAGCATCATAATCATCATCAGCAGTATCAGCATCATCATCGTATCATCATCAGCAGCATAGTAGTAGTAATGAGCTTGTCATTCGTATTCCGATTCGTCTTATTACTCTTATACTCATGAGTACTCATCATTGTTAGTATTAATAGTTGTACTCCTAGGATGGAACTCAGTTGCATTCTTAGTATTGCTGTGATAAGTATTGTTCGTGCTCAAGATAATGTTCTTAGTATGCTTCGTCGAACTCGTCTATATGAGAGCAAGGTGCATCGCGAGTATAATCAGGGTCATTGTTAGTATTAGTATGATACGTATTATCCTCCGCCTCCTCGTTCTGTTCGTACTAAGATTATGTGTAGTAAGATCGTAGAACTGTTCATCTTTGCAGTATTACTATTCCTCGTATTATTACAATGGTTAATCCTATTGTTATGGGGATGCTTCTCCGCATTTTACTTTCTAGTAAGATGATTCGCACCCTATTTGTATTACTGATAGCACTATTAGTGTTATGATTGTAATGATTATTCGTCTCCTCCTCCTCCTCATCATCATCCTCGTCATCCTCGTCCTCCGCGTCCTCTTCGTCTAAATAGTAGTACTAATAATGTTAATATGATTGCTATGATTCGCATTAGGATGTGAATTGTTTATGTTCATATGCTTGCATTGTGATTGGTATGATTGCTCTTAGTCTGCTTCTTCGTAGTGTCAAAATTAGTATGAGTATTATGACTAGCATTATTGATAGCATCGATATTGTGACTACTGATATTAGTATCAAAATTATGATTACTAGTTTTTTGTTCCTGCTCCTGCTCCTGCTCCTCCTCCTCCTCCTGTTCCCCCGCCTACTCCTCCTCCTCCTCCTCATCCTCCTCTTCCTCCTCCTCCTCCTCCTCCTGCCGTCTTCCATTACTACCTCCCTCCCCTCAATTCCTCCCTCCCTCCCTCCCTCCCTCCCTCCTCCCTGTTCCTCCGCACCCTTATTCACCTAAACAGTGATTGCACTTAGGGGCTCTTACTTCTCCTCTTAAGGAACTGGGCCGTGTGAGTGGTCTGTCGGCTACGTTCCAGCCGTCGCCGCCCTGTCGCCGTCTCGTCGCCGCCCTTCGTCTGGGCCGTGTGGGCGTTAGGGGGCTATGTTCTGGCCGTCGCCGCCCCGTCGCCGCCCCGTCGCCGCCCCGTCGCCGCCTCGTCGCCGCCTCGTCGCCGCCAATCGCCGCCGTTGGATTGCACCGCATCCGCCACCGTGCCGCTGGGCACGGGGGGGGGGCATCCGCAGGTACTCTGCCCAATTCCCTGAGCCTCAGTCCTCACTCCCGAGGAGTATTCAAAGGAGGGCCCGGAGCCCAGGTTGCGAAACCTCCGGGGGGCTTCTCGCGTCCTGTCGGGGGCTCGTCGCGCCTCCGCCCCGCGGGACTCTTTCTGGCCCACGCCGGGCCCGAGGACGGGGCCGAGAGGGGCCTGCGAGGCCCCCAAGACGCTCCACAAGGGCCCCGAGTCGCCGAACGATCGCTCCAAGATGCCCAAGATGGCCTCCAGATGGCCAAGGAGGCCTCCAAGAGGCCTCCCGAGAGGGTCCCAAGAGGCGAAAGGCCTTGATTTCCTTAAGGTTTAGGAAGGCATTGGGCGTTTTCGCCTTTTCGGCTTGCCGACGCTCGAAGACGGCCCAAGAGGCCCCCAAGACCACCCCAACCAAGATGGCCCAAGAGGCATCCAAGAGGTGCCCAGAACCCTCCAAGAAGGCCCCAAGACGGCCTAAGAGCGCCGCAAGACGGCCAAAGAGGCGCCCAAGACGGTCCAGGAGGGCCCCAAGACGGCCCCCAAGAGAGGGAACACGAACCGAAAATCCGAGCCTTCCGCCCAAAGAGACCGCCAAGAAGCCCCAAGATGCCCCCAAGCGGCCGAAAAGAGACCCCACGAGGCCCCAAAACGGCCCCAAAGAGGCCTCAAAACTGCATCCACGAGACCCCCGGGAGGCAACATAGATTGCACCACATATGTTGCACAACATAGATTGCACAGCACATTTTGCACAACCACATATATTGCACCACAAAGATCGCACAACGAAAATTGCACTACATAGCTTACACAGCATCGGTTGCATCACATAGATTACATCACAGATGTTGCACAGGAGATGTTGTCCACATAGATTGCACAACAAATATTGCATAACCACATCAATTGAACCACATAGATTGCACAGCATAGATTCAACAACATATATTGCACTGCATAGCTTTCACCACATAGATTGCACGATCAATATTGCACAGCATCCATTGCACCCCATCGACTGCACCGCATATGTTGCTCCACACGGGTTGCACCACATCGAGTGCTCCACATGGAAAGCACCATCCACATGGATTGCTCGAAACACACTGTTTGTTTGGGGTCCACGTTGGCTAACATCGTAAAGACAAGACCTCCTCGTCTCCCCACCAGACTTGTCGGTAGGGCGGGCCGGGCGTTTCACCTGAGACGTCCTCCCCGCTAAGTGCCCCGACGCTTGAAGGTTCCAAAAGCTACACGGATGGAGGGTGGGTTCAAAATGTGACTCTCGCCTTAGCGCCGCGCGCGTTCATCTTAAAAGCGTTCGACAGGTACACGGACGGAAGGTAACTCCTTGCCAAGATGTGGCGCGCCCTTTAGCGCCGCGCACACTACTAGCAGACAACTGGCGGGCGAGGGTCCTTTTTCCTCACTGATATTCTTATCTTGACCACCTTCGTCCCGTTTTTTTCCGGCAGTCCGACTTGGCACTGCTGCCGCACAACCTGAGCCTTGAATTGTACAGGTGCCTGCCGACAGGCGGGAGGCCTACCAGTGGCGTGAGCGGCAGCAGTGGGCGAAAAACTCTTGAGCGCCGCCCCGTTGACCCCAACCTCCGGGGAGAGCCCGCGAGACCCATCTGCGACCGCGTCTGGCACGGTCGGTCCCCTCCTCGTCCTCCTCCTCCTCCTCCTCCTCCTCCTCCTCCTCCTCCTCCTCCTCCTCCTCCTCCTCCTCCTGTTTCCCGTTTCGTCGTTCTTGCGGCCCTCACTGGCGTCTCTGTGGTGGCACATTGTCCATCCTCCGGGCCTCTCCGCTTCTCGGTGTTGTCTCGCTCCACGCGACGGGCGTCGCGGCAGAAGTCCTTCCTGTCCTCTGTCACTCCAGCTCCTCCTGTTTCTTGGACTACCTGACTCGCAGGGTGGCCAGCGCCGGCTCTGGTCATCACTCCTACCAGCCTGGGCCCAGTGGGTGGATTGGCGCGCCAGCTATTCCAAAGCAACCCCTATCTGAAAACCCTCTCCAACACCCCCATCCCGACGTCGCGAAGACGGAAGCAGCCTCGGCTCGGAACGACACCAACAACAAGTATCACCATCACCAACGCCATCAACATCATCAACAACAATAGCAACAACAACAACAACAACAACAACAACAACAACAACAACAACAACAATCAGTTTAGGACTGTTCGCTATAATCTTCTCGAGTGTCATTCAACGTGTATTTCCCAAACCCTGATACCCGCCCTCTTCGCCTTCGATCGTAATACCCCCTTTGGGGGGTATATCTTTCTTCCCTGCAGGCCGGGCCCTGGCAAGCGGCGGGGCGGCCGCGGACCGTCGGCCTGGCCAGAGGCAAAGCTGACTGGCGGCAACACGACCCCAAGAGGGACGGACAGGGGACCGACCACGACGACGACGACGACGACGACGACGACGACGACGACGAGCGAAAGCGCGAGCGAGAGCGAGAGTGACAGCGGGGGCACGAAGGGAAGGGCAGTGATGGGGCCACGAAGGGCAGCAAGAGGGCCACGGAGGGCGACAGCGGGGCCACGAAGAGCATGCGTCTGGGGGCACGAAGGGCGCGAACGAGCGGGGGCCACGAAGGGCCGATAATGCGGGGCCACAGAGGGGCAACGAAGGGGCCACTGAGAGTAGCAACGGGGCCACGTAGTGCGGCGAGGGGGCCACAAAGGGCGACAGCGGGGCCACGAAGGGCATGCATATGGGGCCACGACGGGCGCGAACGATCGGGGGCCACGATGAGCATACGTATATTGGGCCGCAGAGGGCAAGGACAGGACCACTGAGAGCAGCGACGGGACCACGAAGGGCAGCGAGGGGGCCACAGAGGGCGACAGCGGGGCCACGAAGCGCATGCAGATGGAGTCACGACGAGCGCGAACCAACGGGGGCCACGAACAGCATGCATATATGGGGCCACGAAGGGCAGCGAGGGGGCCACGAAGGGCGACAGCGGGGCCACGAAGGGAAGCGAGGGGGTCACGAAGGCTGCAACGGGGCCACGAAGGGCAGCGAGGGGGCCACAAAGGACTGCAACGCGGCCACGAAGGGCAGCGAGGAGGCCACGAAGGGCTGCAACGGGGCGACGAAGGGCAGCAAGCAGGCGACGAAGGGCTGCAACGGGGCCACGGAGGGCAGCGAGGGGGCCAAGAAAGGCTGCAACGGGGCCACGGAGGGCAGCGAGGGGGCCACGAAGGGCTGCAACGGGGCCACGAAGGGCAGCGAGGGGGCCACGAAGGGCTGCAACGGGGCCACGAAGGGCAGCGAGATCCCGATTCCTAAAAAAGCCGGGAGGGAGTCCTAAGCGTGAGCGCGACTCCTGGGAGCCTGAGTGTCGGGGGCGCGGCGCTTGAGAAAATTGCGGGACATTCCAACGCATGCGCGCGTTTCTTAGTTAAATTGCACGCGAGTCTCCAGCGAGAGCGCGACTCTAGAGCGCCGAGAGAGCGATTCCTGAATAAATTGTATGCAAGTCTCAAGCGAGGGCGCGATTCCTGAGTAAAATGCGAAGAAGACTCAGGCAGGAGCGGAGGTCCTGGCTAAATTGTGAGGAAGTCTCAGGCGAGAGCCGGTGTTGTTGTAATCCGGGTGTCAAGGGCGCAGTTTGAGCTAAGTGCTTTCCCCTGATATGAAAAACAGGGTGCGAGCACAGGGGGAAGCACTTCAACTGAAAAACACAGTGGTCACTGGAGGGGGGGATCAACAATTATTCTTCAGTAGTGACAGTTCAACGTCATCATCATCATCATCACCACCACCACCACCACCATCATCATCATCAGCATCAGCATCAGCATCAGCATCAGCAGCATCAGCATCAGCATTGGCATCAGCATCAGCATCAGCATCAGCATCATCATCATCATCATCACCACCACCACCACCACCATCATCATCATCATCAGCAGCATCAGCATCAGCATCAGCATCAGCATCAGCATCAGCATCGAAATCATCAGCATCACCATCATCATCATGAGCCATCATCAAGATCGCCTTGGCCGTCGTCGTCGTTGACTTCCCCCTCCTGGTCAACATAATAGTCATCATCAGCAGCATCATCACCACCACCATCATCGTAATTTTATCATCATAATTAGCATCAACAGCATTACCATATTCGTAATCGCAAGAATCATCACCAACCCCCATCACCATCACCATCACCATCACCATCACCATCACCATCATCATCATCATCATCATCATCATCATCATCATCATCATCATCATCATCATCATCATTATCACAAACGCCATCATCATCATCATCATCATCATCAGCAGCATCATCTCTACCACCCCACAATCATGATCACAACCATCGCCATTACCATCATCATCATCATCAACATCATCAGCATCATCAGCATCATCATCACAAACGCCATCATCATCATCAATATCAACATCATCATCAGCATAATCAGCATCATCATCGTCATCATCATCGTCATCGTCATCGTCACCGTCATCATCACAATCCTCATCACCATTACCACAACCATCATCATCACTACCACCAGCATCATCACCACCACCACCACCACCATCATCGTCATCAGCATCACCAACATCACCAGCATCATCGTCATCATCATCGTCCTCGTCATCATCATCGCCATCATGATGATGATCATCATCATCATCATCATCATCATCATCAACGTCGTCATCATCATCATCACCACCATCACCATCACCAACATCATCATAATCATCATCATCACCAGCATCATCATCATCATCACCATCATCACCATCATCGTCATCGTCATCGTCATCGTGATCATCATAACCGTCATCAGCATCATGATCACCATCACCATCACCAGCAACATCACCATCAACATCACCATCATCATTACCATCACCACCATCATCACCATCACCATCATCATCATCATCAGTATCATCATCAGTATCATCAGCAGCAGCATCGTCATAATCATCATCATCGTCATCATCATCCTCACCAGTATCATCATCATCATCATCATCATCCTCATCATCATCATCAGAGTCCTCATCATCATCGACGTCATCATCATCGTCATCATCATCGTCATCGTCATCATCATGACCACTCCCATCAGCAGCAGCACACTCCCCTCCGCCTGCCCGCGACGACCCGGCGGACGGCCTGGGCCCCGAGGTCGGCGTGCTGGCAGTAGCCCACGATCTGAGCACACATGGCCATGTCGCGGTCCTCGCGGGCGGCACTCGCCGAGGCCCCCCTCCCCGCCGCCCCTCCCGTGGAGGGAAGCGCGCCCCCTCCGGCCGCCACGCGGGCCCTCTGCAAGGGGCGGAGGGGGGCACCCCTGCACCGTCTTGTTCCGGCACTGCTTCCGGGCGGCGGTCCGAAGCCAGCGGTGCATCGCGGAAGAGTCAGCCAAGCCGGTGGGGCCAGCTTCCGTCCCCCCCCCCCTCCAGCCAGACGCCCCAACCACCCGCCTCCGCCGTTCCCCCTTCTTCCCGCTCCCCCCTCCCCAGCCACCCTACTCCCCCCTCCTTTTCGTTGTCGTCCTCGTCGTCCTTTTCCATCCTCCTCCTCCTCCTCCTCCTCCTCCTCCTCCTCCTCCTCCTCCTCCTCCTCCTCCTCCTCCTCCTCCTCCTCCTCCTCCTCCCCTCCTCTGACACTGTGCTCCTCGCGTGCTCTTTGGCCTACCCGAGTACCCCCGCAGCCGCCTTCCATTATCCGCTACTCCATTTGCGGCTCGGACTGGATGCATCGCCACGCCATTCGGCCCCTTGCGGGGTGCACAGCTGGGTGGGAGCGGACCTTCGTCGGCCAGCAGCCGATGTCGCCTTGGCGCCAACAGTCTCTGACCCAAAGGGACCCGGCAGGCTCTCAGGGAGCACCGCATCTTGAAGTGGACATCTTTGCTGAGATGTGACGCAAATGCCCGGTCCAACGACCCGACGAGTAACCGACTTGCATCCCCACCCATTTCCCCTTCCCATTGCAGGTGCGCTGGCCTAGCTCGACGCACAAGTTGAAATGAATGAATGGGGGACGCATCAGCAAGGAGGGAAAAATATCACCTGCACGCGAGCCTACCATCAGTTGCACCACCAGCTCTCTAGAGCACTCGCGTACTCAAGACTACACGAGCTCACCAAAAGCTCCATCATCAGCTATGCTGCCACTACCGGTTCGCTACTACCTCCATCTAGGTGCACATGTTGAGGTATCGACTGGTCTGCTATGATGCCGATTCCGCACCAGTGTCCTTGTGTGAATGTTGCCGCCCGTGGCTTCTTCCCCCCCCCCTTACACAGTAGGCGCCGATATACCACCACAAAGCCTGGCCAGAGCCTGACACGGCGCATACGCCCTCCTGGCCAAGGCCAAGAATCTGGAAACCATCCTGGATCCTAGGATGGCCCTGGCCAGACATGATGGCGTATAGGGTGTGGCGTTGTTCCTCCCATGCCGCGCCTGGAGCGCCTCACCGTCCCCCTGAGAGGGAGGAGGAGGAGGAGGAGGAGGAGGAGGAGGAGGAGGAGGAGGAGGAGGAGGAGGAGGAGGAGGAGGAGGAGGAGGAGAAGGAGGAGGAGGAGATTGAGATGCAGCCTTTCTCTCGCGCGACGCGACGGCACCTGTTGGGGAGTGGGAAACAGGCAGACGGGGGAAAAATCAGCATCAAACTACTCGAATATCGGGCCAATGTCCCCGACGAATCCCACCAGCCCTTTGGGCGCGAGTGGTTTAGAGAGCTCTCTCTGTTCTCAACTACCCTTCTTCCCCTTCGGGGAGGGGTTTACCCCTCCCCCCTACCCCCCCTCCCCCTGGGCCTGGAGGAGGTCCTTTCGCGGGTCGTTGGAGGGGTCATTTTCGACTCCTGGGAGGGCTAAAAAACGACACCCCCCACGAGGATTCTGGCCCCGACGGGGGGAGGCAGAAAAAACCCTCTCCTCTTTTTTGAAGCCAAAATCATTGATTGTACTACGGTTTTGGCCCCACGTTGGCCTTCTGAGGGGGCAGCGTTAATTAAAGCTCCCCTCTTCTTTCAAGCCAAAATCATTGATTTTACGAAGGTTTTGGGCTCATGTTGCCCTTCTGAGGGGGCAGCGCTCATTAAAGCTCCCCTCTTTTTTAATCGATTCCCTCCAAGATGGCCCCAAGAAGCGCCCAGGAGGCACCAAGAGGCCCCAAGATGGCCCCAAGAGGCCCCCAGAAGGCCCCCAAGAGGCCTCCAAGAGGCCCCCAAGATGCCCCCAAGAGGCCCCAAAGAGGCCCCAAGAGGCTCCCCCGAGGCACCCAAGACGCTCCTGGAAGCCCCTGGGGCCGCCAAGAGGCCCCCAAGACGCCCCAAACGGCCTCCAAGAGGCTCCCAAGAGGCCCGAAGAGGCTCCCCCAAGGCACCCAAGACGCTCCTAGAAGCCCCTGGGGCCGCCAAGAGGCCCCCAAGACGCCCCAAAAGGGGACGAGGTGCCCGAACGCCTCACGCCACGAGGAGCCCGAACGACTCACACCAGGACGAGGGGCCCGAACGACTCACACCACGAAGAGCCCGAACGACTCACACCAGAAGGAGGGGCCCGAACGACTCACACCAGGACGAGGCGCCCGAACGACTCACACCACGAGGAGCCCGAACGACTCACACCACGACGAGGGCCCCGAACGACTCACACCACGAGGAGCCCGAACGAGTCACACCAGGAGGAGGGGCCCGAACGACTCACACCAGGACGAGGGGCCCGAACAACTCACACCACGAGAAGCCCGAACGACTCACACCAGGACGAAGAGCCCGAACGACTCACACCACGAAGAGCCCGAACGACTCACACCAGGAAGAAGGGCCCGAACGACTCACACCAGGACGAGGCGCCCAAACGACTCAAACCACGAGGAGCGTATTCACTGCCTCCTCCTCCGCCTCGTCCTTCTCCCGCTCCCCCCACAAGGAAGATGTACAAGGAGGCGGGAGGAAGGAGTATCAGGGGAGATATGCGGGGCCAAACGGACACACGCCTGAAAAACACGACTGGCGGCAGGCTTCGCAAGATTTGCTGTTGTGAGATGGGCTGGTGGGGATACGCGAAGCGTAAAGAATTATCGCCAAACGCTCGACAGCTTGGGTAAGCATCTGCCGCCCACGGAGCTCGGCATGGGTGACCGTGCCTCTGCCAAGGCCGCCTCCTCCCTCCAGGAGCTTGCCTACGTTTTCATTCGAGACAGGATCAATCACTTCGATGACGAACCCGAACCCAGCCTGCCCCTCACGGACGCCCCCGTCGAAGGAGCCGCGCAAAAGACGGGGCCATGGCTCGGAATCGCGATCGATCCAGCAAAATTGCGAAAGAAAGGGGTCTGCTCTTGGACCCCCGAAGTCGCACACGGGTCAGCTAGTTCACTGTGCTCTCGATACACGTGTCTAAAGAAATCATGCCCTACATTACATGTGCCTACATACCAGCTCATCAGAAGTTCATGCAGTGCGTTTTGAACTCCCCGAACACGTCTTTGGCACTCCACCTTGTTCATCCTGGAAACCCCTCGGGCCCACTTGATGACCGTGCGACTGTCTCCCTTCAGGTCGATCAGAAGTGAAAAATGCCCCAAGCCCTCCGTCCTCCAGTGGACCCTTTCCTCGAACGTAACCCCCCGACGCTTCTTCTCCCTGGCCTCGTTGGCCTTGCTCTCGAACGTCTGGCGACTCCTACGCTCAAGTCGGAGGGCTGCACGCCCTTGCACTCCTACTCGGTGCTCGAGGGCCCAGATCAGGAAATGATCTAAACCCTTCTCCCAGTCCTCAGAGACCTCCTCCCTCCACTCGGTGCCCAGGAAATCGCAAAACAAGTCCTCCCACGCCGCCCTCCTCGTCCACCCAGATCTGCGCTTCCACCTATCGGGCCCTCTACGCACACGTTTGGGGCCTGGAAGATGGGCCTCCAGCGCCTGGCAAGTAGACGACAGCCTGCTCCAGGAAGCTTCTGAAAGTAAGTTCATGGCCGAGGAGGTCCACTTCTCGCGCCGCGTGTCCTTTCTAAAGAACGCGGGAGCGGACATGCGCAGCTTCTCTCATAATCTGATCCCCATCGACTTGTGGCCAGCGCTCCTGCGCACATAGCGCGGGCCTGCCCAGTCGCTCTCTTGAAATACTGTTCGCTACTCTCGGCATCGATGTTACGAACTCGGGCAAGTTTACGAAGCATCCCTCCTTCGAGTTGTCGAACCCGTTAGAGCATCGCCCGGTTCCAAGCGAGGCCCTCGGCGCCACAAAGAAGACAGACTGGAATGGATTCCGAATATATTCGCATTCGTTCGCGCCTGGAGGGTAGCGGTCGACGGAACTGGTTGTCGCTGAAAAACAACTCGAGGGCCTGCTTAACTCGATGATCGAGGGCCACGCACGAGTCCCCGATCTCCGAGATCATGGTGCCTAACAAGAGCATATCCTTGCGCCTTGGGACCTGGATCTTGCCCTGGAGGACGCCCGAGCCCAGGCAAGCGGGAGCAGGGGAAGCGTCCGAGACCTCGGAGGGCGGAGTCGCAAGGAACTCAGAACCTGGCCAGAAGACGTGGATGGGTTCATTCCAGATGAGCCTGAGGTTAGAAAAGATAAGTTCGCTAACGTAGTTACACTTACACGTAATATATGTAGCCCCCGTCTTCTCGCACTTCGCATAGGGTATGGGATCGGGACTCCGGGCGCCTCTGAAGACAGTAACTAGTTCTAATTCGACCCCCTTTCCATGAGCACTGCAGCAGCAAGCGAACCGTGCACGCGGCGGAACTGCAGCGCGCGAGAGCACGCTGCAGGGCTGAGGTAATCGAAGGCCTGCAGCACGTCCCCCGAAAAGATGAAGAGCGGCAGCTTGTCGGGCCACTCCCACCTCTTGGAGAACAGGTTCCTGATGGGCCCCGTGAGCTGGCAGCAGTTGCGGCCCGTCTGGAATCCAAAGTTGCCGAGGTGGTTCGCGTCGCTCATCTCCTCATCCTCCTCCACCAGGATCATCAACGCATTGATGTACCACTTCTGAAACACACCGATCAGAGAAACGACACGGTAAAGGAAACTATGTTGGGCTTTCTCCAAGAACGCCATGATGATGGTGGCCCAAAATTCGACCGCCTGGTGCTCGTCTGACTCCAGTCGAGCTTTGAATAACTGGCAGCACGTCTCGACGCTGGTGGCCGAAGAGTTCGCGGACCATCCCCGTGCAGATCTGGTCGTTGCCTGCCGAGCTGTCGGTCTTGAGTCGGGCTCGCGCCATGTAGGGGTGGCCCATGGTGAGGGTGGGTCGGCGGCGTCCAGCGGCCTCCCCCCTGCGCCCTCGGTCGCGAAGTTGTTGCACTCGCTGAAGAAATTGGATTGGAGAAGAAGAAGTATCTTGATACTTGTCACGACAACAGTCAGATATGATGTCAGTCCACACGGCACGATCTGCTTGAGCTCTACCCTGTCGGTCATGAAGAACTGCAGGAATACCCAAGCACATGGTTCGCCGGGCCTTGGCGCTCGGGAACTCTACTCTTCATCTTCTGCCTGCGCCAATGTCGCTGAGAGCGTCGGAGAGGTCTTCTCGCGGGCTTGTACTCAGCAGTGCCGATGGCCCCTCGCAGCTCACCGTCTAGCCTAACGACTTCACGAGGCCTGGACTGTAGAGCAGAGCGCCTCGTGTAGCGCGTGGTGTTGGGCACCGCTGTGGCGAAGGTGTGGATGATCTCGTTGGCCTTCTTGATGCCGTCCCTGGGCGTCTCGCAAGAGAGGAGGCAGGTGTTCAGGTTGAGCTCCGAGTCCTTGCGGAAGCGAGCTCGGGCAGCCTCACCATCTGGCTGCCAGCCAGTGAGGTACCTGTGGTTCTGGTAGACCCTCTGTTGATCCACCCTTTGATCAGAACTCCGACTGGAGTGTGATCCCGTTTCGATCCTCCAAGATACAGACCTTCGGCATTGTAGTGAAGCGCCTGAGTAGACAAGTTACGGTTGCACAGGATGTAGTCGAGGGTGTTCCAAATACCTGTGCTATATGAACACAAAGTGTGAGGCTTCTGGCAAGCTGAAAGGAACGTTGAGGCAGCACGGCAGCGAAAGTGTGACATGAGATCGAAAACCGCGAACTGGCGCTCGAGAGAGCCCCCGCTATCCCACCCGTACTCCGAGACACCCGCGATCCCCTCGACCTCTGGCAATCACATGTTGAAATCCCCCCCCCCCCCCCCCCCCCCAATACAGCATGGGCAAGAGAAGAAGAAGGAGTATGGGACATTGAGCTGGCTGTGATAACCTCGAAGTTAGAGATGATGTCTGCGATGCACTTTTTGAACTCTGTGATGTTGTAGCCCCCTGAGTCGGACAGGTAGCAGGCTTGAACACAGAGGTTCTGGAATATGGCCCCTGCCTCTCGCGCCGTACTGACATACCGCGACTGAACACCTGAAGAAAAGCGTGAGGGGTGTGCCGAACTGGCCCGAGGCCGCCATGCGAACCCTGCCACTGGCGCCTTCGATGGAGCTCCCTATGGAGCCACGATCCTCGTGAGTGGTGTGCCGAAATGGCCCGAGGCCGCCATGCGAACCCTGCCACTGGGGCCTTCGGTAGAGCTCCTATCGGGCCACGATCCTCGTGAGGGGTGTGCCGAAATGGCCCGAGGCCGCCATGCGAACCCTGCCACTGGCGCCTTGGGTGGAGCTCCCTATGGGGCCACGAAACGCTGTACTTGGTGGGTGAAACGCAGGGAGGGAAGAGGTGGGAGGAGGGGGCAGCGGCGCGGGGCGCTGTCTCTTCAAAACGAGGACCCAACACCACAGAATGGTTGGGAAAAGGTAAGCATTCCCTGAAGAACTCGGGGGGGGGGCCTGGCCACAAGCTTCATCAAGGAGGCGACTCTACTCTCAAAGACTCTTCAGAAAATCAGCAAGCAAACTGAACGAATACTCGGACCCCTCAAGAAGGGTCCAGAAAAAGCAAGCAAGCAAGCAAACCGAAAATCGAATGTCAACCCTTCAAACTAGCAAGCAAGCAAATAATCTCTGATCCCCTAACCTCCTTGATTTAAAAATGAACCCAAACACTTTCTGAAACACGCATGCAAGCATCGAACTGACTTCATTCACAAATCTGTTTCGGATACCCACTTCGGAGATTCCGCATTCATTCTGCATCTTGCACAACGCAAAACAAAAGACTTCAACGAACTTTTTCAGGATTAAGAAACTTCGGCACATAATTAAACAACGAAGTTTGAATTCATATCTATTTGTTTTTCGGGGCTTTCGCTGCAAAATTGATGCATTCATTTTTGCATGCTCGAGAATTTATACACCGAAAACTTCATGATCTTTTTTTTCCGAATTTTCAGCCCGACTTCCTTTCTAAATGTTTCTCGAACACCCGCTGCGCAAATGACGCATTTATTTTGCATTCCCGGACAGCGCGGCCATAGAAGACTTCAACGAACATTTTTTCAGAATTTCCAAAAACGAAATGAATCGCTGAAGTCGAAACGCCTGCTGCGAAAATAATGCATTTATTTTGCATTCGTGGACAGCCCCTTCAGGAACTGCTCATAACTGCTCCCCGCAGCCGCCAGAAGCCCCGTTGGAGCCTCGGGGGAGCCCCAGGGCGCCCCTCACGGTGACCCCAGAAGACCCGCAGATGCAGCAAAGCCAAGGCCGCCAAAACAGCAAGCAAGTAAAGGGTCCCGACACCCTTACCCCCTTCCAGAAAAAAAGCAGCAAGCAAGCAGACGCCGGGCCAGACCCTTGCACCTGAAAGCCTGATTCGCCTCCCTGATCAAGCTTCCCTGACCTTGGGGGGCAATTGGGCGAAGGGGGCTTCCGAACGGGGGGGAAGTCCCCCTTTCCATCCCCTGTCCAAGGGGGCCCGACCTTAACTGCAAGAGGGGAGGGGGTCGAACCAGGAGGGGCCCGCGAGGGGTTCTCTCTCCGGGAAAAGGGTTCGTTCTCCAGGTGTGCTACCGAATCCTTACAGATTGCTGGGAATCCTTCGCAGAGGTCCGGGTGAGACGTCATCGTGGATCCTCGCACTTCTGTCAAAAATGACTTTCGGAAATCGACATGTGCTGCCCTTAAGGCGCCACAGAGATTTCCCATCAGTGTGGCCTCTTCTGCCCGGAGAAGGAACTCTTCTTGGTAATATTACTATACTATATGTGGCGACCAAATTGGTAGTAGTTCGTGGCTAGGTGCTCGTCGTTAGGAGTCGGCAGATAGTACGTAGTCGTTGGTATTTAGTAATGACTCATGGTTCGAACGTAAGTAACAGTCTGTTGTCAGTAGCTAGTGGTATGTACTGAGTGTTAAGTAGTTAGTAGCTGGTAGCTTGTAAGTAGTGGTCAATAGCAAGTGGCTTGCATTCAGTATTTAGAAGTAGTAGTAGTAGTAGTAGTAGTAGTAGTAGTAGTAGTAGTCGTATTCGTAGTTGTCGTGGTGTTAGTAGTAGTAGTAGTAGTAGTAGTAGTAGTAGTAGTAGTAGTAGTAATAGTAGTAGTAGTAGTAGTAGTAGTAGTAATCGTAGTCGTAGTCGTAGTCGTAGTAGTCGTAGTAGTCGTAGTAGTCGTAGTAGTCGTAGTAGTAGTAGTAGTAGTAGTAGTAGTAGTAGTAGTCGTAATATTAATAATATGAGGTACCAGTAGGAGTAGGAGTAGGAGTAGTAGCAATACTAGCTGGTAATTGGTAGTTACTAGTTAGTAGTCGCAAAAGTAGTAGTAGTAGTAGTAGTAGTAGTAGGACTAGTAGTAGCAGTAGTAGTAGTAGTAATTGTGGTGGTAGTAGTAGCAGTAGTAGTAGTAGTGGTCGCAGTAGGTGTCGTAGTAGTAGTAGTAGTAGTAGTAACAGTAGTAGTAGTAGTAGTAGTAGTAGTAGTAGTAGTAGTAGTAGTAGTAGTAAGAGTAGTAGTAGTAGTAGTAGTAGGAGGAAAAGCACTAGTAGTGACAGTAGTAGTGGGAATAGTAGTAGTAATAGTAGTCGTACTCGTAGTCGTAGTCGTAGTCGTAGTCGTAGTCGTAGTCGTAGTAGTAGTAGTAGTAGTAGTAGTAGTAGTAGTAGTAGTAGTAGTAATGGTAGTGATGGTAGTAGTAGTGGTAGTAGTAGTAGTAATAAGACTACACAGTAGTACTCATACTAATCGTACAGTAATAGTAATAGTAGTCGTGGTAATGGTTGTGGTAGTGATGGTGGTAGTGGTAGTGGTAGTAGTGCTAGTAGTAATAATAATAGTAGTCGTAGTAGTAGTAGTATAGTAGTAGAAGTAGTAGTAGCAGCAGTAGGTGAAGTAGTCGTAGTAGTAGTAGTAGTAGTAGTAGTAGTAGTAGTAGTAGTAGTAGTAGTAGTCGTAGTCGTAGTAGTAGTAGTAGTAGTACTAGTAACAGTAGTAGTAGCGGTGGTGGTGGGAAAAAAAAAGCAGTAGTAGTAGTAGTAGTAGTAGTAGGGGCAGTAGTAGTAGTAGTAGTAGTAGTAGTGATATTAATAGAACTAGTAGTAGTTATGGTAGTCGTCGTAGTAGTAGCAGTAGTAATAATAGTAGTAGCAGTGGCTAGTAGTAGTATTAGTAGTAGTAGTAGTAGTTGTAGTAGTAGTAGTAGAAGTAGTAGTAGTAGTGGTACTCGTAGCAGTGGCACAAGTAGTCGTAGTACTAGCAGCATTGAGGGTAGTAGCAGTAGTAGCAGTAGTCATAATAGTGGTAATCGTAATAGTTTCAGCTAGTAAGAAGTAGTTAGTAGCTAGTGGCTGGTATTGCTTATCGTAGTTCGTAGCTGGTACGTACTAGGTGGTGATGGTAGTAGTAGTAGACTAGTGGTAGTTTGAGTGGAAATCAGATTCTTATGAAAAAAAAAGAATAATAATGATAATGATATTCAAAGCAGTAGCAGTAACTGTAGTAGTAGTCGTGCTAAAAGTATTAGTAGTAAGCAATAGCAGCAGCAGCAGCTGTAGTAGTAGCAGAGGTCCCAGTAGTAGTAATAGCACTAGTAGAAATAATAGTAGTGCCAGCGGTAGTGGTAGCGGTGGTGGTAGTAGTAGTAGTAGTAGTAGTAGTAGTAGTAGTAGTAGTAGTAGTAGTAGTAGTAGTAGTAGTAGTAGTAGTAGTAGTAGTAAGGGTAGTAGTGGTAGTGATAGTCGTAGTGGTAGTAGTATTAGTATTAGCAGCAGTCGTAGCAATTGTAATTGTAGTTGCACCCGTCGTAGTAGTAGCCGTCGTAGTAGTAGTCGTAGTAGTAGTAGTAACAGTAGTAGTAGTAGTAGAAGAAGAAGAGTAGTAGTGGTACTACTAGTAGTGGTACTAGTAGTAGTGATAGTAGTGGTCGTATCGGAATGAGTAGTAGTTGTCGTAGTAGAAGTAGTCGTAGTAGAAGTAGTCGTAGTAGTAGTAGTCGTAGTTGTTGTTGTTGTCATTGTTCTAATTGTTGTAGTTGATCCTGGAGTAATAGTAGCAGCAGCAGCAGTAGTAGTAGGAGCAGTAAAAAATTTGGTGTTTGGAGTTTGGTGTTTGGTGTTTTGTGTTTGGTGTTTGGTGTTTGGTGTTTGGTGATTGGTGATTGGTGCTTGGTGTTTGGTGTTTGGTGTTTGGTGATTGGTGTTTGGTGTTTGGTGTTTGGAGTTTGGTGTTTGGTGTTTGGCGTTTGGTGTTTAGTGTTGGTGTTTGGTGTTTGATGTGTGGTGTGTGGTGTTTGGGGGGGTGTTTAAGGGTTGGTGTTTGGCGTTTGGTTTGTGGTGTTTGGGGAAGGCGGGAAAACCTGCAAGGGTCTCACCCGGAGAACGAACCGACCCGGCATTTGC